TGCCATGGCAGTTAAAGTAGAATCATACTACTGTAACTGTGTAGTGTGAAAGGGTCCACAGAATGAGAGTGTTGCTAAAGTACAGAGTAGGCTATTTTAGCCTCTAGACTTCTTTGGGGGATTCACAGCATTCAGCTGACGAATGTCCTGACCATAGAAAGCACTACTACTATCATCTTACAGTAACAGGACTTGAATTGAATTCCTGAACTGAACCTGCTGTGCTAGCACACACTCTTCCTTGGCACTTTTGTCAGTGTCATTCACTAAGGAGAAGAACAGCTGCAACTTAAATCAGAGGTAGAAAAGATTTGTTGGATTTCATTTCTGGAAGGAAATACCTATTTCACACTTCCAAGATCGCTAACAGATCAGAATGCTTCTTGCTTCTGAAGAACATACATTTGTGAAATTCATTATATAATTTGGAGAACAATGTGGATATAGTTCCATGTGTGCATTTTAAAAATGTGCACAATTTAAAAAGTATATATCAGAGAAATGCAAGCAAACAAGCTTTAGATTGTGCTAAAAGGTTCATAAAAAGAGTATATCATAGAAAAAATGAGTACAAACATTTGAGGGGGAAATACTCATAGGTTTCTAGGTGGGGTGAGGAAAGAGTTTTGCTAACAGAAGCAGTAGCAGAATTAAAATGTCAGTGGGAAAAGTGATACTCCACACGAAAATCTTTATTTCTCATGGCTTCAAATAATCACCAGGAATAAACTGTGTGTCTTTGCTCTGCAGTGTTCTTTTACCTTAGCCCAGGAGCATTTTGCCATTCTTTGCTAATGATGGCACTGCAGCAAACCTGAATGTGCAATTTAAGAGATTTGCAGCAGGAGGAGCAGCTGTTGTTGTTGTTATGCCTTTTCTCCAGTTTGGGACTCAATGCTGCTTACAATAGATTTTAAAAAAACATAGTAAAAACACAAAAATTAGAAAGATACTTTGAAATTATGTTTTCCTGAATTTATGGAGTGACACAGCTTATAATTAATGTATTGTTAGAATATCAGGTTTGGAAAGTTACTTTTTGAACTAAGGTTCCAGAATCCCCAGACCAGCATGGCAATAGCCAGGGGGTTATGGGAGTTGTGGTCTTAAAAGTACCTTTCAAATTAGCACTTCCAGCTCTTGTCAGCAAAGCAAATCTTAGGAAAAGCACCTCAAGCTTTCTACCAAGATGCACTCCAATATTCCATTCTCTCCCCCTTCTCAACAGCTCCTTACTTTATACCAGGGGTAGGCAACCTAAGGCCTGGGGGCCGGATGTGGCCCCCCGAGGTCTTTGGACCGGCCCCAGGCCGGTCCTGCCACTGCCGCCGCCGCCGCCACCGCCCCCTGCCATGATTATATTGATTATTGTTGTTATTACTTGTACTTGGGGCTTTCTTGGCAAAATCTCCACAGAGGCTGAGAGAGTGTGCATGCATATTTTTTAAATTTTTTAAAGTTTTAAAAATTTATTTATTTATTTATTTATTTATTTATTTATTTTTGGTGCTTCGGCCCCCCAGTTGTCTGAGGGACAGCAAGCTGGCCCCCGGCTCAAAAAGGTTGCCTACCCCTGCTTTATACTCTAATATACAATCAATAACTCAATAACATTTCCAAATACAAGTCCATGACATCACAGTGACCCCTTACAATAAGGGATACCTGGAGCCACTTCATAGTACACAAATATAGCGGCATGATCTAACTATGGAATCCTGGGATTTGCAGTTTGGTAAAGCAGTCTGGAAGAGCCAGTGTGGTTTGAATGTTGGACTACAATGATTTGAATCTCCACTTGGCTATGAAAACCCACTGGGTCACCTTGGGCAAGTCACATTCCCACAGCCTCAGAGGAAGACAAAGGCAAACCCCCTCTGAATGAATCATCAAGAAAACCCTATGGTAGGTTCGCCTTACAGTCTCCTCAAGTTGGAAACATCTTGAAGGCACACAACAACAACAATAAATCCCTTGAGTTCTCTGACTGAGGATTTTAAATATCCTTCCTTAAACTATGAGTCCCAGAATTCCATAGCATGTGGCCAGCACAGTTAAAGTGGACTCATAACTCTGTAACTATATATCAAAAAAGGGCTTCTTGCTACTCTACCCTTCCTGCAAGACAAACTGGAAGGAAGACAGCAATATGTTCCTTTCCCACACAAGCTCCTTCCTCAACTTCTCTTTCACCTGAAAATTATCCTGCTGCTATTTATGTCTCCAGGATTATTTCTCAGGTGAGCCCTGATTCAGAAAAAGGTGATTGCTCACTCACAGTCACACACACACCAACACAACCACTTCAAGCACCACACTTCCTTTTCTCTCAGAGAAATGCATCCCACAGTGAACACTACATAATAATAATTCAAGGCTATTTCATACTCATGAAATGACACATATTTTTCTATACCAATGGTTTTTAGTACAGGAGGTGGGAATCATGTAGCCCTCCAGATGCTGCTGGAGTGCAACTCCCAGCATTCCTTACCATTGCCCATGCTGCCTAAGGCTATTGAGTCTTGCAGTCCAACAACATCTGCAAGATTAAATGATTCTATCCACGCTTTAATACTAAAATCCTATTAACTCGTTTCCCATCATTTGTCCAAAGAAATAATTCCCAGGTTACCGCCTTTTTCCACAGAATCATAATGGATGAGTATCTATTGTGGGAGCCTCTCATGAAATTGAGAAGAAAACAAGCAATTTCTTGAAATAAGATGCTCAATTTTACACCATAAGAACTGGAGGAAAGAAGGTAAAGAGATAAACACCTGAGACCTGTAATTACAATGGAGAGATGGTATAATGGTTAAGAGAATGAACTATGGGCCACAGAGTTCCTGGTTAAAATTTCATGACAGCCATGAAGTTGTTCTCCTTCTCTGAGCCTGTCTTTATATTATTTGTATTTGCACAATCATAACAATAGCTTTGACTGCATAGACCACAAATAAAGTATGGAACACTCTTAAAGACATATTCCTCATCATGGCTATCAGATGTGTTGACATTCCCATGTCTTTAAGGGTGTTCCATACTAAACAGATTGAATGATAAAATGAAGCCTTGCCTGACCCTTACGGGAACCATTCTATTTCTCCGTATTCTGTTCTTACCATAGCCTCTTGAAAAATAGAATGGTTCCCATAAGGGTCAGGCAAGGCTTCATTTTATCATTCTATCTGTTCAGTTTATATGCAGTAAATATCATATGTACCAAGTTTAGACACAGAAGAAGGAGGAGTAAAGATAAAAGGAAGGAGTATTAAAAATCTAAGACAGGGGTAGGCAACCTTTTGGAGCCGGGGGCCGGGTTGCTGTCCCTCAGACAATTGGGGGGCCAAAGCACCAAAAATAAATAAATAAACCTAAAAAATATATGCATGCACACTCTCTCAGCCCCATAAAAGCCATGGCAAAACCCTTGTGGAGATTTTGCCAAGAAAACCCCAAGAACAAGTAATAACAACAATAATATCATGGTGGACGGTGGTGGCAGCGGCGGCAGGACCGGCCCGGGGCTGGTCCAAAAGCCTCAGGGGGCCGCATCCGGCCTCCAGACCTTAGGTTGCCTATCCCTGATCTAAGATATGCAGACAATATGATACCACTAGCAGAAAACATCACAGACTTGGAACAATCACTAAAGAAAATCAAAGGAGAAAATGCAAAGGCAGGCCTAATGTTAAATATAAAGAAAACAAAAATAGTGGAAGATATACAACTGAGCACTAAAGTTAGAATCATCCAAGCCATTCCCCATTACTATGTGCGGATGCAAGAGCTAGACAGAAAGCAGATAGGCAGAAAATTAACTCTAGTTGAGATGTGGTGCTGGAGAAGAGTGTTGAGACTACTGTGGGTGGCCAAAACAACAAAGAATTGGGTCCTAGCATTAATCAAGCCTGAACACTCTCTGAAAGCCAAGATGATGAAATTGAGGCTGTCGTACTTTGGCCACATCATGAGAAGACAGGACTCATTAGAGAATGCAACGATGATGGGGAAGGTGAAAAGAAGTAGAAAGAGAGGAAGACTACATGCCAGATGGATAGACTCACAGTCAGGGAAAGCAGGACCCGAGCAGGATGGTAAAGGATAGGGGACTTGGAAACATCTCAATCACAGAGTCACCATAAGTGGAAGTCAACTCGAAGATAGCTAACAACAAGTCTAGTGGTTATTCTACAGTGGGTTGAGAACTGTTGTTCTTCCAAATGCTTTGGACTATAACTCCCATAACCCCTTACTATTGTCTGAGGGTTGAAGTCCAAAACATCTAGAGAGGAAAAACTCTCCGCCCAGTTTTAAGGATGAATGCAATTTTCTTGATCAATACTGTCAGCATCAATACAGTTGGGAACTGGATCATATTATGAAGTTTTAATACTTGAAGAGGCCTGAGTGTATCTAGGCATTTCAGTGACAGTTCTGACATGCACACAGCCTATAGTGACTCTAAGATTGTTGCTCAATTCCTTGCTTGTTATTTAAATTAAGTGGTGTGGTGAAGTCAGGACTTTTTAGATTATTCTAAAAATCTATAAATCTATCTTTATTCTGTCTCAGTTTAGCTGCAGTCTCCAGTAGCTGGAGGGCAAACACATTTTTCAGCAACAATGTGTAGTTATGAGGTGTCCCCATAGTAATTCCAGGTATTTTTTGGTGCTTGGCTGTTAATGGGCAAGACACATTAGTATTACAAAAGGCCTGCTCCTGGTGGCAATGAAAACTAATAGAAATAGGATATATAGGTATGCATATGTGTGTGTATTTATGTGTATGTATACTTATATGAATCCCCTTAGAGAGGTTGCTATCGGGACTACTATGGTGAGGATCCTGCTGCTGTTGTGAATCTTCAAGTAATTTCCGACTTATGGTGAACTTACTTGGGGTTTTCCTGGCAAGTTTCTTTAGAGGGGATTTGACATTGCCATTCTCTGAGGCTGAGGAAGTGTAACTTGTCCAAGTTTACCCAGTGGGTTTCATGCCAAGCAGGGATTTGAACCCTGTTCTCTAGAATCCTAGTCCAATGCTCAAAGCACTATGCTACGCTGTGACTGCACTTCAAAATTTACCATTAAACCACTGTGAAAATCACACAGTAAATCTAAGGATATGAATCTGGGCAGTGAAAATCAATCACAAGAATGCTTTCAGCACAAACACAGTTAGCTCATACTGAAATTTTCAATCTTTATCTACCAGAGCAATTTTGCAGTATGAGCTGGCTCTTACAGACATTTTAAGAGAGAACTGGCAAATCTGGCTTTCTGGATATTGCTGACCTATAACTCCCATGATCCCTGTCCTTGATATGGCTAGAAGTGCTGGGAGTTGCAGCCCAACAACAGCTCAAGGTCACAACTGTCCACTCCTGTCTTAGGAGAAACAGTATTTTCATGGCTTATAGTACATCCAATACAAAATAGAAGAACATAGGATGCTAGTATACAGATCATTACAGATCAGATAATTCATCTGTCTAGCCAATGTGTAGAAAATATGTGGACCTCTACATGCAATTGGACTACACTTGTGCCTAGCACATTCTGTAAGAGCATACCTAATGTTAAGACACAGCCAGCATTTGAGTAAAACAACACCTGGAGGTTACACATTTGCCAATCTTGAATACTATCTCCTTTTACTGCCAGCAGCTCTCTAAGATCACAGATAGTTTGGAAACATTATTTTTGGAGTACAACTCCCAGATTTCCTCAGCCAGCATCATTACTGCCCTTGTTGGCTGAAAATCCTGGGAATTGTAGTTCAAAAACAGGGACACCCTGTCTATAAATTAGGCTTGTACTGGTAGGACAGAGGGTCAGCAAGGTGTAGTGCTTTGAGAATTGGACTATGATTCTAGACACCAGAGTTCAAATCCCCACTTGGCCATGGAAAACCACTGGACAAGTCACACCCTCTCAGCCTCAGAGGAAGGCAAAGGCAATCCTCCCCCACGAACAAACCTTGCCAAGAAAACCCCATTATTGGTTGGCCTTAGGGTTGCCATACATCAGAAACCATTTGAAGGCACCTAACAACAAACTGGTAGGACAGAAGTTTATATAACTGAAGAAATGGCTTTTGCCACAAGAACTGGGAAGTGGAGAAGGTTATTTCTTCAAAGCCTGGGAACATTTAATTTTTTTAGACATGAAGTCCCAGAATCCCCCATCTGCACAACCACTGGCCATGCTAGGAGAGAGAATTCTGGGAGCAGTAAAGAGTGGTGTTTCCTTTGTTTATTTAAGTTATTTAACTACTGGAGGCTGGAAGTGATTCCAAAACTGCCTGGAATAGCTGAGAGAAGGAGAGCTGTTCATTACGATGGAGCTTAAAAGTGGAGTCCTTGGGAAAGTGTGCGTATAGCTGAGCAAAGCAAGTCCTAAGCGGAAGGCTGGCTGAATTGGATTTCATGCTTGGCCCCAGGCCAGAATAAACTTGGGGCTAGTCCTAGAAATGTCAGGACTCTTACACCATGATGCAATCCTGGCACCTCTGTGTCACCTGTGCCCAGAGAACAACGTAAACAACTCTGTGCTCAGACGACACAGTCTGGGCTGTTATATAACTCCATGAATGTTGTTTGCTTGCGTCATGACTCTCCTGTTCCATGAGACATTATACAGTCAGTTTAAACTATCTGTTTTCAACTTGGGAGTCCGAAAGTTCAGTGAAGGACAACTGTCCAGAAAAAAAAGACAACAACCTTGTTTATCCTGTGCCTGTCTTTTAAAAAGGTTTAATATGCACACATCAGCAAGTAAATCTTCTTGTGTCATAGAGCTGCTTGGAGGAATACTGCCTGTATAGCCAAGGGCACCTCTGTCCCAAGCCTCTATGTGCTGAGCAGGTATCTGCATGATGTATGTGCACACGACATAATGTTGCAGAAATCATGGATGGAGCAAGGATCAGAGCTTGGGAAAGTTCTTTCTTTCTTTCTTTCTTTCTTTCTTTCTTTCTTTCTTTCTTTCTTTCTTTCTTTCTTTCTTTCTTCCTTCCTTCCTTCCTTCCTTCCTTCCTTCCTTCCTTCCTTCCTTCCTTCCTTCCTTCCTTCCAATATGGAACCCAAGATTACTTAAAATATAAGTAAAAGGGGGGGACTTTAAACTGACAATCCAATTAAAACAGTAAAAATAAAACCCATTTAAAGTACAGTGGGGCTTTGGTTGGTTCCAGGACTCCTTGTGGATACCAAAATCAAGTCCCATTAAATACAATGGCATAGTAAAATGGTGTCCCTGATATAAAATGGCAAAATAAAGGTTTGCATTTTGAAATTTATATATTTTAAAAATATTTTCAAGGTGTAGATGCTTGAAGCTGTGGATAAAAAATCTGTGTGGAGGGCTGACTGTATATGTGTGTGTGTTCATGCACCTTCAAGTTGCCTGTTAACTTATGGTAATCCTATGATTTTCATAGGGTTTTCCTAGGCAAGGAATACTCAGAGATGGTTTTGACAGTTCCTTCCTCTGAAATATAGCCAACAGCACCTGGAAATAATTGATGGTCTCCCATCCAAGTACTAACTAGGGCTGGCTCTGCTTAGCTTCCAAGATAAGTGATCTGCTGCTTTAGGGTAGTAAAGATAAAAATACAGCAGAGGCTATTAAAAGTTATTTCTGCCACCCCTAATCAGAAAGTGAAGATCTGTTTAAATAAAAAGGTATTTACTTTCCAGCAAAAAGGGAGTAGAGAGGGGACCATCCTAACCTCCCATGGAAGTGAATTCCACAGCCTAGGAGCAGCCATTGAGAAGGTTATCTTACAGTGTTTCCTTGTCAGACGGGCCTAAGCAACACATGACTTGAGAAGGTGAGATTCCAATTTCATGAGTTGCCCATACATTTGTATGACTGTGATGCTGCTAACATCTCATCAGTGCTGCAGACTAAACATCCGTTAAAGACCAAATCTGGCCCAAGATATTTTTCTACCTGTAGCAAAGGACAAGGGGGCTAAATACCCTAAAGGCACCAGATCCTGTCTGATCTTGGAAGCTAAGCATGGTCAGTCCTGGTTAATACTTGGATGAGAGACCACCAATAAATATATGGTGCTCTAGGAAGGAAATGAGGAAATCACTTCCAAGTATTCCTTGCCTAAGAAAATGCTATGATATACATGGAGTCGCCATAAGTCAATTGGCAACTTGAAGACACATACACACAAAGGGCAAAGGACAAGATGCCCCCCACTCCGTGACTGGCCATTGTTGTGGTGGCACACTCCCTCAGAATTGAGACTGCACACTAGTTTAGGGGGCTTAAGACCAGTCATCTGGCATACACTATTCTGCCTTCCAGCAGGGATTGTTGCTGCTGGCCCCCAACATCTACCATCTGAGCCAGTTGCCTTGCTAAGCCTAATAGTAGGACAGGCTCTGTTAAAGTACAGCTACAGAGCCCAATTCAAAAGTTGTTTTTATTTGCGGGGGGGTTAGTTCTTGAATATATTTCCATTGTTTTATTATTGTTCATATCTAAGAAGATTATCGCATTAGGATATAAAGTGGCTTACCTGAGCCGGCTTAAAATTAAAAGGAGGTGGCATCCTGATATTATCAGATGTATTTAGCCACCAAAATCACCGCCCAGCTCCAGTGGCCATTTTTTCAAGCCAGAAAACTCCCGGCTTTGAAAAGAGGTGTGAAGATTGCCCCTTCAAGCAGCGATGGAGCCAGCCTGCACCCGGGCGGCAATTTCGGCGGCTAAATGCATCTGATAATATCAAGATGCTGCCCGTTTCTAATTTTAAGCCAGCTCAGGTAAGCCGCTTTATATCCTAATGAAATAGTCTCCTAAGTTATTGTAAAGCTACCGTGAGTTGGCATTTTGGATTGAGCGGTAATGGATTGGATGAGGAAAAGCAAATTGAAGTTGAATCCAGACAAAACGGAGGTTACAGGTCCGAATCCAGGCTTGGGATTACAGCCCCCAGTCCTGGATGGGGTCACACTCTCCGTCAAGG